TGCTGAATGTATTGTAACTTTTCCTGTTGTTGCCAGAGTCCCCACCACAAAATGAGAGAAATACTCCCAGCCCCATTGATCCTGACTGCGTAGAAGTTGAGGTGAATTTTAACCCTGACCCTGCTGATTTAGTGCTGTCCAGCGTGCCTGGTGGTGAGCTCTTCAATCCTCGCAAACACAAGTTTACCGAAGAGGACCTGAAACCACAACCAATGATTAAAAAAGCCAAGAAGGTTTTTGTCCCAGATGAGCAAAAGGTAACAGATTCATTGCTGCAAACTTCTCTAGACCTTGATCAAAGTTTCTGACTCTTTGTCCAAACATTTTGACCTATAAAGCTAATGTGCCATACCTACGTGATTGGACAGAAGCACCGCCAAGAATAGAACTGGCAACTCAACTGCTGTTCTTGCTGCTTTGCTATCATGACATAATTATTAGGCAGGAGCAACTTACCATGCTATACACAGAAATTCAGAGTAGAACAACTATCAAGTCGCATCCTCATCAACTGCACTTCTGAAGGCCATTGTATATATTTGCCCAGCATTATGTCTAATCTGGCTTTAAGCTGCCCAGGCAACAGAACAGGTTGTTTTCTGTGGAAGTTCATTCCTGAATTGAAACTAAGTAAAGGGAGCATTTCAGTTGGACAGCTTCTTAGTAGCCGAGTCTCTTAATCTCCCTAGTTCTAGTAGCGCACTTGGTTTATTCTAAAACAAGACTCATGTAAGGATGAAATCTTACAGTACTGTGTTGCCTGCATTTTGGTGTCGGAGCTCTGCAAACCAATGAAGGAGATTCCTCAATATGCTCAGTCAGTGTGAATGTCAGTATACAACGAAGAGGTGTCTATTTGATGTAGTTGTCAGGTTGGCATCTTTTTTTTTTTTTTTCTTCCCTTTTTTGCTATAGGATGAAAAATATTGGACAAGGCGAAAGAAGAACAATGTGGCAGCAAAGCGTTCCCGTGATGCTCGGCGATTAAAGGAAAATCAGATCACAATTCGGGCAGCCTTTCTTGAGAAAGAAAATACAGCCCTGAGGACGGAGGTTGCAGAGCTGCGCAAGGAAGTGGGACGATGCAAGAACATTGTTTCTAAATACGAGACCAGATACGGACCCTTGTAAGCACACCCCTTTTCCTTGTTAGGGCTCCTTGTTTTAGCCTCTTAGACTTCTCTGCCTTCTGTAGAGACTCCCAGAAATAAAGTTTGTGGAGGCTTTGCCATTTTGCGTCTACACAAAAAAACCCCACCCAAACCCTGTTTCTATTGGCAAAACTTGTTCAGGCCCTTTCCTGATCATTGTGTTGCCCAAAATCTTAGTGTCCATATTTACAACTTTGTTTTTAACACTGATATAGCATTTTCTGATATCATACTATATAACACATTCACCTGTATGGAGGAATAGATGTGGATCCCTCCTGACTGGACAGGGCTTTTGCTATCTGTTCTAAGCTCCATTTTAAGTGGAGAAAGAGCCTAGGAGACTCTCCTTGCTTTTTTCTTTTTTTTTCTTTTTAAACTCCTGCTCTTTTCTCCCTTTCCCCCCCCACCCTGCCCCTCCCAGTCAAATTGTAAAACATAATTTTAAGATATAAGTAGATGTTGCTGGGCAACATCATGAAATTATTTCCTCTCCCATTCAGAGGCATTAGAAAGTACCTGTTGTATTAGTACTCTGTTCCTGTTGAAGAGGAATAGGGGAACCTTTAGGACAGGAAGACAGGAAAATATTCAATCACTTGTAAAAACTGATGTATCTTGAGGTTAATGCACAAGTGTTGTGCAGACCAGAGTCAGTGCAGTGTTGATTAAAATACTGCTCAAATGTCTTGGTAGATTGTAATCCTGGATAACTTTCAGAAACTAAGGAGAGAGAACAGTGGGGGATCTCTCGCTTTACAAACACAGACAAAACAATTTGCTGTGGGTTTTGGCTGTATTTCTGCCACCACCCCTCCTTTTTTTTTTCCTTGGGGGAACTTCCCTCTAGAACTGCTGATAAAGCAGCATGTTACATTTAACTGAGAAGTAAGGGAGATTTAGCAAAAGAGGTCTGGCTCGTTAGGCCGAACCTTGAGTCCTGTCTGTTAAGGAATTGCCAGTACCTTATGCTTTGGAAGAAGGTGGGTTTTTTAAGAAGCAAACAAGCCACTGTTACTTTACTGCACCTTACCTGTTGTACAAGAGCTTGAGAGAGAGTTTTTGTCCTTTGCCTCGTGAACACTCTATGGAACAAGCCACACCCACTCTAAACACGAACAGTTTACCTCACTATCTCCTGTGTAGCAGCATATCTGGTCTCTCCAAGCCTGCTGGTTCTCTCTCCAGCGTGTTTCCTGTTACAAAATTAGCACACAAGACTTGCCCTCTTGGAAGTAATCCATTCTCAGCACCAAGCACTGCTTCAACAGTATGTGGTGTTAAAAGAAAAAATACATTGTGTGTGATGTTGGGACCTTCTACACGACCTACAACTGCAAGACCCAGACGCTTTAACAGAAGTATATGTCTAGAAGTCCTCTTAACAAAAGAAGCTGTCGTAGGATAGTGGCTGTGTCAGAACTCTTAGACTACACTTCCTGGGCTAATATTTATATTAGGGAGTAAATGTGGGATAGAAGATGTTTAGGCTAGTTTCCAGTTCCCCTATTGAAATCTGAAAAGTAAATGGAAAAAGCATTGGGGTTTCTTGTCTATACTAAAGACTTCTTGGCTAGCTTGTCTTTTAAACGTAATGTGGAAATTGGTATGAGTTTAGACCAATTGTGTGTTGACTTCTTAAGGAAGCGGAGAAGCAGGCTAATCCAGAATGCTCAAAGTAAATGTATGCTTTGAACTATCTCCCCCTCTGTTATGCTCTCGACTAGAGTGGCTCTTGATGCAGTGTTGGTCTAATTTCTTTCAAACATACTGAGAATTGTCACCCTTTCAGCAGGGGTTTTTCTTTCACAGGGTGGTGTGTGGTGGTGATGGTGGGAAGTATGTTATAAATAAATTGTCACACTTAACACTTTGCTTTGTTTAAAGTGACTTATCTGATTCCGAGTGATGCAACTTTAAAGACTTTTAAAAACAAAGAAACTAAAAAGCACACATGAATCGCCAGTCTTCAGAGTGAGCAGTGAAATCTATGAGGTGTCCCAACACAAACAACTGATGATGACCCTGCCTGCCTGCTTGCCTGCAAGTACCCCATCTGAACTACCCAGGGCTGGGCATGATGAAAAGTGCAAAGTCTCCTTAATTCTGTATATGGCTTTCTTATCTGTCTTTCTCACTGTAATTATGAACTACTATAAGCTTACTTATTGGGGGTTTGTCAAGACACTCAAAGTTCATGTCTCAAAGTCTGTTGACGGCCTGTGTGAATAGTGACTCTTTGCTTTGGCACTTGAATGGAAGAAAATAGGGAATTTTAAATGAAAGTGTCTGTATATATTAAGAACTGCTATATTTTAAGACTCTTTTCCCTGCAGTAGAATGAATTTTATTTAATGCTGCACCTCACTTCTGGTACAGTGTAGCATCTTGTGGAGTACTATGAGTGCAGAATTAAAGACACCAGGAAGACAGCAGTCTGTGATGTGTGAGACTTCCAGTGCAGAGAAGTACAGCAGATGTATTGAAACAATCCAGAAAGCACCACAGTGTGCCATGCAAGAGTAGTAATAAGCCTCTATCAAATGACCCATGTAATAGTAAAACACTTCAGTTGCTTTCCTGCTACACTGCTGTAACCTGCCTTTTTCCTTTGTTTCTTTTATGAGGCTTGCTTTCCTTTATGGTATCTTGCTGAAACAAGATCTATTCTTCTGTTAAAGATTTAGCAATCACAGAAAAGGTGCTAGTCTGAGCTGCTGATCCACATGTCTGTTGGCAGTCTGAAATTACCAAATGAGTATTAGCTCCAGCAAAATGACGACCATTAGCTGCCATATTACAATTTTCTGTCTCTTGACTATATGAGAACTGCAGTGGCAAAAGAGTACTTTGTTCATCTGTTTTACAAAACTGAAACAACCAGTGATTTCCCACAGTTACAAGGAGCAGCTTGAGTATCAAGACCCTTGTGCTGGTGTGGGAGAGTAGATGAAAGCTTGGACAGATTGTGGGGATGTTTATTGTGTGTAGAAGATGGAGGAAGTAGGTGGAAGTTCCCTTGTAAGACTTTCATCAGAATAACAAGAATCTACTCTTATATTAAGGAAGCTTAAGAGCTAAATTTGTGTGGGAAGAGAGTACTTAATTTCTGGGAAAGTAGTACAGCCAAAATGGAGTTTGTAAGACAGGAGTGTATTCATGTGTGGAGATTGATAAACAGCATACACCTCAAGAAAAATAACCTTGAAAGCTTTCAGAAGCACAAGTGCCGAAATTATGCGGCACAACTAGTTACCAGCAAAGCTCAACACTATCGTGTTCAACAAGTATTTTGACTTTGCATTTACCTAGGAGATTCCACCCCTAATTTCAGAGCAGAAAGGCAAAGAGAAAAAAGGTGCAAATAAGCAGATAATGTTGTAAACTTTATTTAAAAAATAATAAAAATATCAAACCCCAGAATTCATAACCAGTTTTTTTAAGGCATAGTCTTTTAAAAAGCATATACATTAAATGCAGTTATTGACCTATTATTTTAATGGACCATGTTCTGAAGTCAAGAAAGTGCTTTTAACTTTTTTGCTGGTTACAAAGCATAGTTATGAATATATTATTGTAATTTGGAATTCTAAAGCTCTGAGATAATCTTGGGGTATTCTTTTCAAATAGATGAATAGCATAGTTCCATGTTGCTGAAATGTCAGCATATATCTCTATCTGTATCAAGTATTGCTGATTTGGACTGATATTTTTGGTATGTACTGGGTTTTGTCATCATTTTATTTTGGTGACAAAGGCCAAACCATTACTTAAAAAAAAAAACAAACCCAAACAAAAAAAAAAACCCCGAAACAACCAACCCTGACAGCATGTAAATGTAGCAACTCTTTTTGCATTTATCATTTCTATATTTTCAGTTAGTTTCTTGAAAGTCATGTTTCCTGTTGAAATCACAAAGCTAGAGGGATGTAGTAACTGGGCAAGGAGTTGTTAGTCCTTTATTTGGTCTTACTGCTTTAGGGATATCTTTTAAATACTTACATATTATATAGAGGATTTGGTTTTGCAGTATGTCATGCTATCTTAACAGCAAAATAGTCAGTGACATTAGTATGTGCAATTCTATTAGTTTTTTCTATTGTATTAAAAGCTTACACAATTTGAAACTAACAGTGAATGTTCATTAGATCTTTCTTTCAGAGAAGACTGTTAGCAAACTCTTGTGCTTCCCTGTAGGACAGTGCAAATTTGCACATTCTGTGATTCATCTGTCTATGGGTTGCAAAACTGGAAAATTGCTCTTTAGGTTGAGTGTGGCTTAACTTTTGTAGTTGGAGATTTTATTACTTTTTTTGTTAAGAAGCAAAATCTTTAAAGATAGATGAGAAGGTAGTCACTATTTAAAGGAGCGTAGGTATTGCCAGACAAAAAATTATGTGCAATGCTGAAATCCTTTCTCAGTTTTTGCAGTCTCAGGAAGTTTACTGCTTCAGAGCTCTCTGTGCTCCTCTCAGAACAATTAACTATATAATCTTGTTTCTTTGACTAGGATGACAGTCCTATCTCTAGATAACTTGGGTACGTTTTCAGAGTGGTCATAAGAAGACCAATATTCTTTTAGCTCAATTTGAACGTTAAAAATTGACACTGTTATGAAGTTCTGTAGCCTTGGAACATGCTCTGTAGAGGACATAAGTGTGCCTGATGCCAGTGTACCCCATTCCAGCCATAAAGGGACCATCTCCAAGGGGAGAGAATAAAGGGAGTGCCCCTTTCAGCATCACTGCAGGGATTGCCATTAAAGGGAGCGGGTTTTGACACAGCTGTACATTCATTAAGAAGTGGGTTGACACCAAATGGCCATTTCACAGTACTAACTTTGAAAATATATAAACTGTTGATGAGATTTGTGGACAATGAGTGTTGTCTTATTCTACAAAAGAAACAGACTATGAATAAATGATGCGCAACATTGAATACAGTATTGCTTTTGTACATGGTCTTCTAATCTACACATAGTTATATCTCCTTATAGTAATGCGGGTTTGTATTTAAAAATTACCTAGAAGCTTAATCTTTCACCTGTTGCCAAGATCTGCTCCCACTGAAGCCAGTAACAAAGATCTCGTTAATTCCCACAGGAAAAAGTCTTTACTCTCCCACATGGTTATTGTATAGTTTTAGCAAGCACTGGAGTCATGGGTGTCTTTGCTTTATTCTGGAGCATTCTGTACTGGGATCGATTGGATGTGTCTGAGATTGCAGGTGTAGTGTTGGTAAACTGGTCCTATCACTTCTTCATTTACACAGTTAGTGATAGTTTTGATATTCAGATAAGCTGAATTCTGCTCCCCCACCCCCCGCATGGAGAGGGTGAAAACATAGTGTACCAGAAGTTTGTGCTGGGAGAAGAAATGTGTTGTGCT